TTTTTTTTTACTTTTCCAGACTAACAGAGATTTTGGCATTGTGAACGGTAGATGTCCTTGCTAATCTTACACTGACCCAACTCAAATTTAGGTTTGTCGTCTTTCCTGGTAGGACTACGCTAGCAAGTCCCTGCTAACTGCAGATGACAGGATGACCTTTAGAAAAAATTCCCGCAGGTGCTACTTGCATTCTACCTTTCCCCAGGTAAAAACCCCCACCCACCACGCCTGCTGTCTTAATGTAGCAAATCTAAACACTCCTAAACACTGCCGTAGCCTGGAGGTTCTCTGGCTGGTGAAGATCCCTCTCTTCTGAGCACTGGTCCTTCCCCTCGGAAAGCTCCTCCCTGCCCCCAACCCTGTTCCCCACAGCAGGCCCCTATTCAGTCGTGTTCACAAGACGTTTAATTGTCAGTCCCCAGGTTTAGAATGTGTCAGTCCTTCTGTCTGGAGCTGCTCATACCTTTTTGTTGATGTATGCTCTTCACATCTTCCAGGAGGCCTGCTGCGATTCCTCCCTCTCTTGCAACACCTCATGCCTCTCTCAGCACCCCTCCCTGCTCCAAAGTTCAGAGTGCATGAGTGCATTCACCCCCTGCATTCGCGGGTGGCTTTTAAAAGGTGCTGCTTAATATATGTTAAGAAAAAAAAAGATGAAGAAGAAGAAGATAGCAGGAGGGGAAGAATGAAGGGGAGTAAGTCGGAGGGGGAGACGAACCATTAGAGACGATGGACTCTGAAAAACAAACTGAGGGTTCTAGAGGGGAGGGGGGTGGGGGGATGGGTTGGCCTGGTGATGGGTATTAAAGAGGGCACGTACTGCATGGAGCACTGGGTGTTATACGCAAACAATGAATCATGGAACACTGCATCAAAAACTGATGATGTAATGTAATGGGGTTAACATAACAAAAAAAAATAAATTAAAAAAAAATAAATAAAAGGTGCTGCTTAGCTTCATGTGCGCCTTCTCTCAAGCACTTATTTGTGTGTGTATAGAATGGCCTCCTTATATGTATATAAAATTTGTGTTTTCGTGTGAAATTCTGCCATATGAACACACAGAGCTATCTTGTTATTCTAAATGGCCGTTTATACATGATATACTAGATCCGAAAGAATTTCTGTCTTATGGATTTTTGATAGATGTGGGAAATATTGCCCTACAAAGAAGTTGTAGCAATGTATTAGTATGTGAGCATGACTGTTTCCCTGCCCCGCCTGTCTGCCGATACTTTGTAGTATCAAACGTTTTTCATATTGTCAACTTGATAGAAAAAATAGTCATTACATTGTTGTCTTAATTCTTAGTTATGATGATTTGTGCTTCTGGTGTCTTGTTTAAGCACTCTTACTGTAAAGAAAATTTTTCCATATTTTCTTCTAAGCCCTATGGGCTAGCCCAATCAGACTAAGATCACCAGGAACAAACCCTTTAATCATGGTGTGTTTTTTAATACAAGGCTGTTTTATTTTGCCAAAATTTATTTTTATTTTTGTATATACTTATATATATTATTTTGCATGTATGTCCATAAAAAATTATCTATCATTTTCTTGTATTACCCATGTCCTGTTGATTCTAGGATTATTATAACCTCATGAAATAAGGTTTTATTCTATAAACAGTTTATATAAGATAAAGATTAATTGTACTTTAAAGCAGTGGAGTTCTCAGATAAAACCATCTAGCTCTAGTGTACTTTAGGGCCAGAGAAGACTCTTGATTACCAATTTAATGTTTGGATGCTAGTAGTTTTATTTGGGCTTGCAATTCCTTCTTGAGTGAGTTTCACTAAATTATATTTTTCTAGAAAATTATCCATTTCTTCAAAGTTTTCCAATGCATTTGGGAATTTTTAGAAATATCTTTTTATCTGTGATGTTCTGGTGTTATACTATACCTTTAGATTGATTGATTGATTGATAAAGGTTTATTTATTTGAGAAAGGTGGGGCAGAGGGAGAGAGAGAATCCTGAAGCAGACTCCTCACTGAGTGCAGAGCCTGACGCAGGGCTCCACATGGGGCTCCACTTAGGGCTCAATCCCACAACCCTGAGATCATGACCTGAGCCGAAATTAAGTTGGATGCTTAATTGACTGAGCCACGCAGGTGCCCTGTTTATTTTTTATCTCGCACATTACCCTGAGTGTAATTTTTGATTGGAGAATTCATATATTTTTTCGGTTATGGAAATTCTTAACAATTATCTTTTCAAAATATTGCTGCTTCTCCTATTCTCTTCCTTTATAGAACAGCTACTAGATAAAAATTGGAACCTCTCCATCTATTGTCTATACTTTTTAACTATACTTTCACATTAAAAGTTTTTTTACTTCTGGGGCACCTGGGCGGCTCAGTTGGTTAAGCAGCTGACTCTTGATTTCCGCTCAGGTCAAGATCTCAGGGTCATGAGATTGAGCCCCGCGTCAAGCTCTGTGCTGGGCATGGAGTTTGCTTGAGATTCTCCCTCTCCCTCTCCCTCTGTCCCTCCCCCTGCTTGTGCTCTCTCTCTAAAATAAATAAATTAATTTTAAAAAGTTTTTTACTTCTGTACTAAAAATTATAGTATTGATTCCTTTTTATTTCAATGGTTATCTTTTTCATTTCCAATTTTTGAACTAGTTTTTTCCTATATATCTTGTCATTTATGCCTGTTTTTATTTCATGATTTCTTATCTTGACTTGTAACACAATAGATCAGTCTCATTTCAATGTTCAATGAGAAGCTTGTGTTTGGCCTCCCCCCCATTCCCTCCCATCACCTCCTACCTTTCTCATCTTTTTCTTTTTTTTTTTTTTTTGAAGATTTTATTTATTCATTTGAAAGAAAGAGAGCTTGAGAGCCAGGGCAGGGGGTGGGCAGAGGGAGAGGGAGAGGGAGAGGGACAAGCAGATGCCCCGCTGAGCACAGAGTTTGATCCAAGGACACGGGGAGATCATTTCCTGAGCTGAAGTCAGACACTTAACTGACTGGAGCAACCCAGCCGCCCCCCACACCTTCTCATCTTTAGACTGTCTCCTCCAGTTGGGGGACAGGTTGTCTCAGCTCTCACTAGTGAGGCCTTGTCTTTCCATTCTGTCTTCCTAAATAAAGCTATAACCCCAAGTAAAAAGACTATAGCTACTTTTTTGGTTGTATTGCTTTTGTTTTTAGCTTCCTTTACTGAGTTGGGGATCCCCTCCCCCCACTACCATAGGTGGGCCGGGTGCTGAACTTCCACACCTGACATGGAGCACTCTAGGACCCCACTTACCTCACAGAGCTGCCTTCTCCCAGACTAGGAACCCAGCACCATCCTGCAATTCTCTTCTTGTTCACAGAGATATAATCTTTATATTTGAGATTGGCTGTCTTTCTCTCTTCTCTTTTGATATTCATCTACGATTAGTCTTTGGTTGGAGTGGCAGTTGGGGGGAGGGGATATCTGAGCATGATTCACTGCACCACCTTCCATATTCCCAAGTGATCAAAAGTTTTCTTCTATCATCTGCAAATATTGGTGATTATCTCTCCTCCTTTTCAAACTTTGTAACTTTGATCCCATTTTATTGTCTTGTATCCCTGGCTAGGACTAGACCTTCCAGGACAATATTTCATAGAAGCACTGATAGCAGACATTCTCATTTGTTTCTAGTTCTAAATGGAATGCTTCTAATGTTTCACCCATAAGTATGGTCATTGCTATAGGTTCTTGGTAAACACTTTTTCTTAGGTTAAAAGTGCTGGGTATTAAATTTTATTGAGCTTTTTTCTTCTACATCTGTTGAGATGAGCATATATCTTTTTTTCTTTAATTTTTCATATATGAATTAGATTAATACATCTTCTAATGTTAAGCCATCTTTTCATTCCTTGGATTAAACCCTGGCCATAATGTGCTATTAGTTCTTATTATCCTTGATTGCCTTAGATTTGCTGATAATTAATTCAGGATTTTTACATCTCTGTTTAATAGTGAAATTGGCCTTTCGTCTTCCTTTCTCCTTCTGTCCTTGCCCAGTTTTGATATCTTGGTTGTTTTCATAGAATGAATTTAGATTCTCTCTCCCCTTTCCTATTCTCCAGAACAGTGATAAGAATTGAAGGATTGGTAGAATTTTTCTGTAAAACTGTCTGGCCGGTAGAGTTTTTTGATGAAGAGACTGAAAACTACTGTTTCAATTCCCTAATGCTACAGTTTTACATTTGAATTTCTGTTTTTTCTTTCTTGACTAAGTTTCAGTAAGCTATACTTTTCTAGGAAATTTTCCATTTTCTAGGAAGATATCTGTATTTTGAACTTTTGGGTGGGTATGAACATGCTCTTTTATGGTTTTAAAAATCTACTCTATTTATATCCCCTTTTTATTCTCTGTATTGTTTACCTGTGACTTCCCTCTTTTTTTCTTACTCTGTCTTATCAAAAGTACATCTAGTGTATTATTCTTTTCAAAGAACTAGCTTTTCATGTTTATTGTCTGTGGCAGACACTATTCTAGGCAGGAGAGTGAACAAAATGGATAAAAATTTCTGCCTTCTTGAAAGTATATCCTAATGTAGGGAAATCAATAAACAATACACTTAATAATAAACTTGTGAATTCCATAGGAGATTAGAAGGGTATGATTTCTATAAAAGGAAATAGATCAGGATGAGGAAGATTGAGAGAACTTGGGTGAGGGGCACAGGCAGGTGACAATTCAAACGAGAAAGTTACCTTTGACACACAAAGACTTGAAGGAGAAGAGAGGGGTAGCTATGTGGATGTCTGTGGAAAGACACTCCGGGCAGAAGGGATGACCAGTCTAGGACTGTGTAGAGTGAGAAAGACCTGGGAGCACATGTGTCCAGAACAGATGAAACAGTAGTTGGACAGGCACAGTGCTCCTGGAGCCCGTGGTTTAGACCATTCAGGGCTTCAATCCATTGTTAGTACATCAGATTTCATTCCCCCCAGGGAAATGCCTTAGAGGCTTTTTTTGCATAGAGGCATGACATTATTTGATTTAATTTTTGGCTTGCAGTTGGCTGTCTACTCCATGTGTCTTCACATTGTCTTTCTTCTGTGTCTGTGTCTAAATTTCCTCTTATAAGGACACCAGTCATACTGGATTAGGGCCTACCCTATTGGCTTCATTTTAATATAATAATCTCTATCTCCAAATGTAGTCACATTCTGAGGTCCCGGGCATTAGGACTTCAACCTATGGATTTAGAGGGGCAACCCAATTTATTTCATAACTATATTCACTTCACCATGCATGGCCTTTAATTTTTCTGGTTGAGTAATAGTCATATCTTTTTCTGGCATTGTATCTTTAGATATGAAAACTATTTACAGATTTTGGTTACAGAGTGATGTCTTTTTTTTTTTTTAAAAATTTTTTTTAATTTATTTGACAGAGAGAGACACAGCGAGAGAGGGAACACAAGCAGGGGGAGTGGGAGAGGGAGAAGCAGACTCCCCGCTGAGCAGGGAGCCTGATGCGGGGCTCGATCCCAGGACCCTGAGATCATGACCTGAGCCGAAGGCAGACGCCTAACGACTGAGCCACCCAGGCTCCCCAGAAGTGATGTTTTTAATAAATTAGTCTGAATATTGCACTAGCTGATTTATAATAAGTGCTTGTAAGCCCCTGTTTCTTTCTTCCTCTCAAGAACACTTTTCTTCCTTCTAAGAACAGATGACCTCACCTTGGATCATTCTTGTTTTTCTTTTTGTTTTTTCCCTCCAGGAGATGCACCTCCTACCCCACAGACAAAGTGCACTAACTTCCAGAACGCTAATCTTCTCCAAGGCACCAATCTCAAAGTCCAGTTTCTCCTCTTCACCCCTTTGGATCCCAGCTGTGGGCAGCTAGTGCAGGAAAGTAGTGACATCCAAAACTCTGGGTTCAATGCCACTCTAGGAACCAAACTACTCATCCATGGATTCAGGTGGGAGTAATCAGCCAATAGAAATATCTCAGCTAGGAACTAGAGAGTGACCATAATGCCATAGGAATTTAGTGGGGAGCAAGAGGAGAAATGGATTTACTGACAGTCCCATGTTTCATCTTTCACCTACTGCTGTCTTTGAAGGTGTCTCATATCAACCTGAACACACACTGTGTTGCTCATTCCTGTTGGTCATGTACATTACTCCTCCGCTCAGTCTTGTCGACACACTTTCACACAGTAAATATGTATGAACCTGAACAAGTCACCCCAGCACATGGAGTCTTGGTTTCCACATCTGAATAAAAGGGAAGTTGTACAGATGGTCTCAGTGATCCTTTTCTCCCTGAAGCATGGGTTATGGGATTCATCTCAGCCAATGAGGTCAGAGGCTTTGTGCAATCGGGGTAACAGCATGGTGTTTTATCCAGAGGTTTATTTCCTCTTCTTCATTTCTTCCCTGGTTTCATGATTTAAGAAACTTCCACTCACAGATGCTACTTCCATCATCTCCTGAGGTTAACCTTCCTCAGGTGCTAGACACTTCTCTTCTTCAATTTCTTTGATGCCCTACAGTCCAAATTTCGTTGTAATACTGAGTCTTAATTCAACCACCATCCATCCTTCCAATATCTCTCCAGAGCCCATTGGCAAGGCCAGAAACAGAGGAAGGTTGGTGGGAGGAAAGAAGGAGAGAATGCAGTGAAATAGTAGCAGTATCGAGCAACTAGAGCCCCCCCCCCCAAGGAAGAGGTGGACACAAAGCCATTGCACAAAGGATCACTATTTCATGGTCTCTGGGTTCTCTCTGCTTCTCAAATCACTGGACTCCAGGGACCCAGCCACATCCCTCCATAGGCATTCTTCCTCACTCTTGTGCCGAAGTCTCTCCTCCAGGAAATCTTTTATATTCAGCCACTCTCCAAGGCTGAGTGTGTACCCCCAACCCAGAGATAGCCAACAAAGCTGGAGAGAAGCACCTAGCATACTGCCTGGCTCATTGAATTAATGAAAGGATGACCGAACGAACAAGTAAATTAAAACATCCCTCAAGGAGAGTGCTTATATTATAGAATGAGAATTAAGATTGCAAATCATAACTCTAAGGTACAAAGCTATCTTTTCTCCCCCATGAGTAACACAAGCAGTGTCAGTATATATGGTTTGTGTAGTATGCACTGCACCAAGGTACCTGACTGAGGCCTGGTGGGGCTGAAATCCAACCTGAGTTCTGGGCCCTGGCATGAGGCTGCATCTACCTGGAACAAAAGGCCTTTCTATAATTTACACAAAGGCTCCGTATATGCAGGCTGAAGCCCTGGTGACTTTGGGATTATGCTCTCCCTAGGCTCAAAGTGGTATAAGATGTATTGCCCATATACCCCCCCTTATTTGTTTGGATCTTTTTTCCCCCTGGGTTTATTCTGTTAATAGAGAGTATCGTCATTTCCATGACAATGCATATTGGCTTGGCAGATAATTTTCCTATCCTTTCTTGGCCCTCTGTCTAGGGCCTTAGGTACAAAGCCTTCCTGGATTGATAAATTCATTGGCACTCTTCTTCGGGCAGCAAATGCTAATGTGATTGCTGTGGACTGGGTTTATGGTTCTACAGGTGTCTACTTCTCAGCCGTGGAAAATGTGGTTAAGCTGGGACTTGAGATCTCCCGTTTCCTCAGAAAACTTCTGGTAGGTGCTGAAGGGCTTGGGGGTGAGTTTTGGCTGCTTATGGAGGAGAGACGGGACAAAAAGAAAGAGTCAACACATGAGGAGGAGCTTTAGGGCAGAAGCAGAGCCACCCAGTAGCTTGTGGGTCTTCCCTTCTAATCTCCACTTTGCCACTTACAGTGTTGACTTTGGGCAAGTTGTTGCCCCACTTGGAGACTCTGCTTCTCCTCTGTAGAATGTGCCACTGATGTTAGATATGGAACCCCTCAAGAGGAAGGGGCCGTGGTCATTACTCACACACTTTGGGCACCAAAGAGAAAGTGATGCAATCGTCAAGGTGGGGTGTCTAGGAAGAGGGCAAGTAATGAATGGGATGGAAGTTCTGCCTTTTTCTCCCAAAGAAGGTGTGTGGGGGGATGTCATGCCCAGGGTCCTCTGATTCTGAAGCTTCAGGGAAAAGTGTGACCCTGTGAGGCCAGAGGCTGCCGTGGCCCATATGTAATTCCCTGTAAATGCCCCATTGTAGGTGCTGGGTGTGCCGGAGTCTTCAATCCACATCATTGGTGTTAGCCTGGGGGCCCACGTTGGGGGCATGGTGGGACATTTCTACAAAGGCCAGTTAGGACGGATCACAGGTAACAGTATTCTCTGCCCATCCTCCCGAGTTCAGACAGAGAGAGAGAATGCCCTGGAAATGCCTCTGTTGAGGCAAGCAGAGGGGATCTTTGTTATTATGATTGAATTATCTACTTCCACTAAAATTTATTTATTGTGGCCCTTTTGCATGAAACGGTATTGTGTTGTTATTGTGTGATCTCTAATGTCAGTGTAAGAAGCCACGTATTTCTTCTGAGCCTCAATTACTACCTCTGTAACATGAGTTGTAATAGCTCATATCTCCTTGGCCCACTGTGGAAATCACCCTTAGACAATTATGCTAAATACTTGCAAAAGCACTAGGGACTTTATGCTTCAGAAGCTACCCTCAGTCAGTAAGGGACTAGAGTTGTGTGGTAAATACCCCCACTTTCTGGCCCTTCAGTGGGATAATTCTGAGTCATGTTCTCCAGAGCCTCTCAGAAGGGTGCCAGTGGGATGAGACCCAGTTGCCCAAAGTGATAATACATCCGTTTTTCCAAACTCTGACTCATTTTTCTAATCCCTCACTATACTTTCTCTGATCTACTCCCAAATCAGCTCCTTGTGCTTTATTTTTTTTAAAGATTTTATTTATTTATTTGAGAGAGAGAGAGAATGAGAGATAGAGAGCACGAGAGGGAAGAGGGTCAGAGGGAGAAGCAGACTCCCCGCTGAGCAGGGAGCCCGATGTGGGACTCAATCCCGGGACTCCAGGATCATGACCTGAGCCGAAGGCAGCCGCTCAACCGACTGAGCCACCCAGGCACCCAGCTCCTTGTGCTTTAAATCCTTGTCTCAGGGTCTGCTTTTTGGGAAAGAGAGAAAAGGACATCCAAACTAAGACACAGGGAGAGTAATTTTTACTTCACTGTGTTGTTATGAGGACTAGCACAAGGACTGGCAGACGGTAACTGCTCAAAAAATTACAGCTGTTGTGCGGAGTACATGAGGATGTACTCCTTGTAGCCCTTGCCAGATGGTTGATGTTATCAAGCTCATTTCAGAGCCAGAGAAGCTGGGTCGTTGAGAGTTGGAGACAACAACATGGGGTTTCCTGGGCCCAGTGGTCCTGGGCTGGTCCTCTTGCCCTCGGATCCTTGCTGGAGGACTCTAGGACCTGACCGGGAAGGGCTGCCCTGAGACGTATATGGTGGGTCCATGAGGGTTGCTGCAGCTGAGAGGAAAGGGGCCTCTGACATCAGTCTGTCCCAGCAGGCCTGGACCCTGCTGGACCAGAGTACACCAAAGCCAGTCTGGAGGAGCGCCTGGATCCTGGAGATGCCCTCTTCGTGGAGGCCATCCACACAGACGCTGACAGTGAGTATGGGGGGTGGGTGACCCTCCTAGGGTAGGGGAATGAGCCCGGCAGGGACTAGGTAGCCGGTATCCATTTGCGTGGCTCTGGGTAGGTTCCCTCCCTTCTGAGCTTCTGTTGCAGGGAGGAGTTTACCAGTGTCATGTTGATCTCTGATTAATACTAAACCTTGTGATGAGGCTGTGTGGCGGAAGGCATTGCTGCCTGGCAGGCATAAGGGAAAGTCATGCTGTTTTTTCAGGGTGAATGTGCCTGGCCCTGTGGGACAGGCCCCTCTGGGGCAGATACTCAGGCCTGTCAGGACTTTCCTCCTTCCTGGGGAGGAGCCCAGCCCTTCAGTCCAGTGAAGAATGAGAATCCTCCCCTCCAACAGTGACAGGCACAGGAAAGACCCCCAACCCTGAATCCATTATGACCAAATTAAGCTATTCTGACGAGCTGGGAAAGGGGGGGTGGGCATTCTTCCTCATTTCTACCCTTTATGAAATGCCTAGGTGGTAGCCAGGCCTTGTGCTCAGCATGGCAGGTACAGGAAGAAATAATGCCTATCCCTCACCAGAAGAATGTGCAGTTCAAGTGAGAGGTGTCCAGGTCTCATTCCTTTGGGTCAGAAGCCTTCTTTTATTTATTTATTTATTTTTAAAGATTTTATTTATTTATTTATTTGACAGAGAGAGAGAGAGAGAATACAAGCAGGGGGAGTGGGAGAGGGAGAAGCGGGCTTCCCGCGGAGCAGGGAGCCCGATGTGGGGCTCGATCCCAGGACCCTGGGATCATGACCTGAGCCGAAGGCAGACGCTTAATGACTGAGCCACCCAGACACCCCCAGAAGCCTTCTTTTAGCACCCAACACTCACAGATTCATAATTCTGGAAAAAACCCACGCAGGCATACTATTTAACCCTCTTTTCTTCATCATCTCACAGATAGGAAAGCAAAGCCCACAGGCCTCTGCCTAGCTGTTGGGGTAACCATGTTAATTATGAAGGTTAACCCCTTCTGTCTCTAAATTTGCTAAATAGGTGACTTATTAGGCCCCCAGTTCCAGAGCGAGGCCTCTCAGTCCCCTTCAAAGTTGGAGCCTCCTCCTAATGTGATGAGAGGGAAAAAAAAAGCATTCCATTTTATCTAACCAATTTTTATTGAGCTGGATAGTCAGCATTGAGAATACTGCAAGGCACAAGGCATTGAAGAAGGTCCCCACCCACGTGGAAATATAGACCAATTGAGCAGGCATTCATTCATTACTTCCTTCGATAAATATTAGGTACTCACATGTGACAGGCATGGTGCTGGTATTGGGGATATAGCAGGAAAAAAAGACAGGCAAAGTCCCCGCTGTAAGTTGTAGAGCTTACAGACAAATAAGCAGACTTAATTACACACTCTGAGTACCATGACTGAGGAGGTGGGCCAGAGGGTGATTTGGGTGGGGGAGCCACTTCAGGTGGGGTTATGGAGGAAAGTCTGTCCAAGTTGAGTATTTGCAGGTGAGAATGAACTAGCCCTGGGAAGATCTGGGAGAACATTCGAGGTGGAAAGAGCAGTCAGAAGCAAAGCCTGGACATGGGTGGGGACAGCAAAGAAAACCACATGGTTAGAGGGCAGGGAGTGAGGCAGGAGAAGAAGGAGGGGGACCAGGCTGGCCATGGTGAGGAGTTTACATTTTATTCTGTAGTTGGTGAGAACAGGGAGGCATTAGGATTTCCTGTAAAGATGATTGCAACTGCTGTGCAGAGAATCAGCTGCAGAGGACACTAAGAGAGCCTGGAGGCTCATTAGAGGGTGTTTGCAGTAGTGGTCTGGGTGGGAGATGGGGGCAGTAGAGTCATAGAGAAGAGGTGGGGGCAGTAGAGACGTAGAGAAGTAGAAAGATTCGAAATATATTTTGTTTTTTTTTAAAGATTTTATTTACTTATTTGACAGAGAGAGACATAGCGAGAGAGGGAACACAAGCAGGGGGAGTGGGGGAGGGAGAAGCAGGCTTCCCTGCGGGGCAGGGAGCCCGATGTAAGGCTCGATCCCAGGACCCTGGGATCACGACCTGAGCCGAAGGCAGACGCTTAACGACTGAGCTACCCAGGCGCCCCCGAAATATATTTTGGAGGTAGAGCTGACCAGACAGGTGACGGGCTAAGTGTAGGGAATGAGGGAAAGGGAGGAAGTAAGGATCACTTCTAGGTCCTTGGCTAACCCCTGGATAGATGCCATTCAACAAATAACATACAACCAATCACTTACAGTAGTGATAGATGTGGGAAGGGGAAAGATTTTTGAAGAGGAAAGTTGGGGTCTTTGGCAGCTGGTTCGGACCCAGTCTCAGGGGTCAGATATGGCCACGGTGATGAAATGAGAGCTACAGGCTACAGTCTTTCAAACTAGCCAGGTTTCTGCTCCGTTCAAGACAGCACAAAAATATGAGGGGCACTGTGGAAATGTGGCCCCAAATATATATCTACCTGAACTATAGCTCCAAACAAAATAAACACTTGTTCAACAAGGACATTTACCAAACTTATAAGATTTAGTGATTTATCAGAACTGATTGATGTTAAGGGATATTTTTCTTGATTTTATTAGACAAATATGAATATCTGCTCATGGCTTTACTCTTCTTGGCTACCTTTCAGTGTAGAAAATGGAGGGCACACTCTGCTGTGTCCCAGCATTGAGGAGTGAGGTGGGCACCCAATGGGCACACAGAGTGGGTGGGCTCCCAAAGTCAGAGTTCAGGCTCTGCTGCTGGGGAACCCTGCTGTGGGACCCAGAAAATATGCCCCCGCAGTCCAAAACAATGGGGTTCTGCCTCCTTTCAGATTTGGGTATCCGGATTCCTGTTGGACACGTGGACTACTTTGTCAATGGAGGCCAAGACCAACCCGGCTGTCCCACCTTCATTCATGCAGGTCAGAAAGCCAGAGAGAGTTGGGGTTTGGCTGCCCTGGAGGCTGGAATTCACCAACAGCCAGTGCAGACCACAGGAGATCTTCCTTCTAGTGTCCTTTGCTATGCCCCATAATGCCTTTCCCTGCACTTATTGAATGCATGTCTTTAGGAGCCTGGGGAATTTTGGGAGGGGAGGGCCCGAAATGAAAAGCTTGCACCATACTTTTGCTGGCCTCCCCACTTCTTAGGTCCTGCAGTGATATATCATCACTCAAGCCAATAAACTCTATTCTTCCTGGGCCCCGCTTTGTGGCATGGTCCACACTAGCTACATCCCTGGCAAGAGCCTAGTTGTGGCAGAAGTAGAACGCCCAAAGCTGGCTAGCTGAAGGATCAATCCACAGATGACAATTTCCCCAAACTTATGAAATTTGGCAGTTCTCCAAAACTGTTTCAAGATAATCATCTTGAGTACATTCAATGAATATACATTTCTTCTTTTCTAAATACACAATTGATGCTTGAACAGTATGAGTTTGAACTGCACAGGTCCACTTATACATGGATTTTTTTGATAAATACAGTAGAGCACTGTAAATGTATTTTCTCTTCTTTATGATTTTTAACATTTTCTTTTCTCCAGCTTACTTTACTGTAAGAATACAGTATAGAATACATATAGCATACAAAATATGTGTTAATCAACAGTTTATGTTATCAGTAAGCCTTTCTGTCAACAGTAGGCTATTAATAATTAAGTTTTGGGGGAGTGAAGAGTTATATATGGATTTTCAATTGCCTGGGGGTTTCCCCTGTTGTTCAAGGGTCAGTTGTAGTCTCCTGGAATGTTCTTTTTGAATACATTCTTCTTAGCATTATTTTAAATAACTTTAAATTTGTCAAAAGCTAAGGATCAAGGTTTGTTTAATCTTTTTTTATTCTTCTTGTGAATATAGCCAACCTATCAGCATTTCTTATGAGAATTTTATCCTGGTTTCTGTTTACTTTGTTTTTAGTCTTTTCCTGCTTTACCAAATTTTTGACATTTTAAGGGCTCTTTTGACAATTTTATTGAATAACCACTCATCTAATTTACCAAATTTATTGATTTTCCAAAAACACGTTTCTTTTTCACAATTTATAGATTTTCTAGCATTTTTTATCAGATGAGATAGTTTGGATTTAATGACCTTTGAATATTTCTGTGGCATTTTAGCTGGCCACTTGTCATTTTTCTTCATAACACAATTTGAGAAGGGTTTTGTTTGTGTCCCCCAGCTCCCTGTTGCAGCTGGAAGGAGCTTGCCCATAGAGTGTCCCAAACATGGGGGAAGGCAGGTTAATATAAGCTCAGACTTGGTTGCTGGTCCCAGAGTGGGGTTCCCAAGGTGAAGGGAGAATCTGAAGACCCCAGAACCCTAGAGCTGTGGCTCACTATAGACCTATTAGCCCAGCCATTTCATCCAATGTGAGTTACTTCAAATTTTTATACAGTAAACAGTAACAAGAAAACCAGGTTTTTATTAAATTGGGACATTTGGCAAATTCAGTGTATCAGTCATTTGGCCAGGTGAACTCGAAGCACATTGACTTTCAGAGACTTACCATGAACTGCTGCTGACTCCCTTGATTGTCTCATCACTAGGCTGGGTATCATGAGGTTGTAAAAAATTGGATTGTGTAGGTGATGATGAAGAAGGTAAAATGTGCAGACAGATAGATATTCATTGTGAGAAGTGGGTCAGGATCACCAATTCCCAGTAAGCTCCCATTTTCCAAAAGAGAATTTGCATGATCATGGAAGATAGGTCTCAAATTAAACAACTTTTTTCATAGATTAAGCTTAGGGATCTCAGGAAAATTCAAAAGAAGAGGGAGAATATAGTAGCCATGTCCATTAACATTTTAAAATGTGGCTCAGGAGACATCCCATGCATTTATAGCCTGCTGGAATATAAAATTCAATAGAATTACAATAAGTAGCATGAAGGCATTTTCATTTGTCTTAAACTAAAGCCTTGGTTGTGTTTCCCGCCTCCCCCCACCCCCCACAGGCTACAGTTACCTGATCTGTGATCACATGAGGGCTGTGCACCTCTACATCAGTGCCCTGGAGAATTCCTGTCCACTCGTGGCCTTTCCCTGTGTCAACTACAAGGCCTTTCTTGCTGGACAATGTCTGGATTGTTTTAACCCTTTTCTGCTTTCCTGTCCAAGAATTGGTAAATGCCACCCCTTTGGCTTCCTTTGACAATTTGGGGAAAGTCCAAGTCTTGCTAGTTGTCACCTCTGTAAGTCCTGATTTCTTATGATCAACAAGTCTATCCCCCCAGAGTAAGGAAATTCACTGATAAGGTGTTCGGCCTGTTCCCACCTGGAAGAAGGCATTTGGCCTTCCACGTCCCACCCCTCACCCTCTGTCCTGCTGCCTAATGCCATACTTGCTCTGCACACACCCTTCACACACAGCCCCTCATCTGCAAGTCCAGACTCAGGACACTTTAGAAACATTGGTATAGCCCAGAGCCTCTGCCCCCACTCCAAGACCAGATGCTTGCCCTAGGTCTTTCTAGCTAGGCCAGCCATTCTCCAACTCCTGATAGACTCTAAATCAAGGTGTTGTGGGGAATCCCCAAGAATGGCACCCATGGCATTGGGTGTCAGGCTGTGGTGGCCATGTGCCAGCTGGAGGCCTGCCTCATTACTAGTTGGGTTGGGCACGTTCCTGGATGTTCCAGGCCAGTCTGGGGAGAAGGACTTGGGAAAGGCTGAGGGATCTGGCCTCAACTCACCCTCTGCAGGTCATTGCTGAGAACATCCTAGGGCTCTCCAAGATGAAGGATTTCAGGAAGAACTCTGGGAAATATAAATGGTTCCTTCCTCTCCCTCATTTTCTCACTTCTCACCCCCGGTTGCCACTCAGAACTGTGGCAGCCTGCCATTCCTTATGAAACGGATACCGGCTTGACAAAATGTTAAAGTAGATGTTGCTTCCCACAATAAAGCAAATCAACATTACTTCCGACTCAGTAGGCATATGCCACAATGTCCCCCAGGTGTGATGGACCTGCTGATATAAACAGCCACCTCACACTATCTGCCATTGTCACCTCTCGCCACACTTTCCCTGGCGCTGAACACCCCAGGGATGCTAACTACCTGTACTTCCAAGAATATTTCATCTCTTCACCCTGTGTGTCTTTGCTGAACTGTACTCTCTGCTTGGAGTGCCCTTCCCTAACTTGTCAACTACTATGCTGCAGGTCAAATGCTTCCCCGTGCTTTGTCTGCACGGGATATAAATGCCATCCAAACAACTCTCTTATAGATTATTTTGCCAATTGGAGACATAATTTCAAATTTCTGATAAATACCTCTTGGAATGGGCCAGATGATTTGAAGAAGGTACTTCCTGTTTACTTCTGTGTTTATCCTTGGCTGGACTGGGTTGCAGGTACCCTGGGACTCACCATAGGGCATGGCATAGAATGAGCATACAGTGTGGGTGTTTGTAGAATGAATAAGTGCATGAATGACTCAAAACATGGTTGGGTGCTGTGGGACACTGCAATGGTGTCCTCAGGGCTCTGCTGTCTTTGTCTTTGCCTCTCTGCTTCCAGGGCTGATGGAACAAAGTGGTGTCAGGATAGAGCCACTTCCTAAGGAAGTGAAAGTCTTCCTCCTGACCACTGCCCGGGCTCCATACTGTGGTGAGTTGGGGGAAAGATGTGTAGCTCAGCTCCGCTAGTGTGCTGTCCCGCAGAGTCCAGGGCTCTGGCTTGGGCTGTATCTAGCACAGCATGGTGGCCGAGGTGGGAGGTGAAAAACTGGGGCAAAGATGTCATCGGAGGGGCATGGGGGGCAACAGCTACTGGTCTTAGATGCTGAACTTTCAGAGCTAGTCCAACCCATTGCTCTGCTGCAGATGAGGACTTAGGGACATCTTACTGCCTATATACTTCTCCTAGTTCCTCCCCACCTCCCTCCAGTGTGGGTTCTCTGTAGTGTGGTATTTGGGAGGGCCCTCTCGCTCCCTCCTTCCTGCATACTTTTTTACCCCCACCTTGGTGCCCATCTTATGAGTCTCCCACCCTGGCAGCCCTCTTAGGTCAGGGTCTCTGAAGAATATTGAACCTTGCCCTCTGTCCTCCTTCCCCTACACATACATATTCCAATTCTTCACCGTTGCTTCTAACCATGGCATTACACTGAAGCAAAGATGCTAGTAAAAGATGTTAAATGTGAGAGGAAAGTATGTCTTAGAATCTATGAAATCCATCCCAGGTTGGAGCATCATCTTTCCCTGCACTATTTGCATCTTAAGTAGATGGACTATACTTCTTTTTTTATGCTTGTTATCCTGGGATCTCATCTGGTTCATTGTGGGTACAGGACAAAAGTATGCTGGTTAGGATGATAAATTATATGGCCATGCTAATTCTAACTGATTTTCAGATCACCTTGTGTCTGGTTGGTGGAGGGATCTTAGTGACCATTCCTTCCTTGTACCAGAACTCCTGGTGCCATGTGATATGGAGCCCAAAGCTCAGATTGTGGTCACATAAATGTGGATTTGAATCTCAGCTTCTGCACTTCCCAGATGTGTGATCAGGAGAATCTGACTTAACCTTTCTGAACCTCTACATCCGTATGTAGAAAATGGGAGCAATAACAGTACCTACTTCAAAGAATCAACTGTGAGGATAAAATAAAATAGTATACAGGAAGTTGCTAGCACAGTGACCAGAACTTGATAAGTAATATAATTCCTTTCCCTTATCAGTCAGAGAATTGGAAGAGACTGGATGCGGGTGTTTATCATGCTAGAGAGAATTCCTGGCTACCTCTTAGGAACAAGTGGGTTACAAGAGTCAACTGTGGGCTTCTCACATATATCCACTCATTTGACAACCCAACTCTGAGTCAGGTGAGGCTCTGGGAGACGAAGCCTTGTCCCCGAGGCTACACAGTGAGGTGGAAAAGGCAGCATTCAACTCTGGGTCTTCTGACTCCCAAATCTGTTCTCTCTCCATGCCACCACCCACTTCCACACTGGCCTCTTTGCCTCCGCTTCTGAGAGCGAATCTGCTCGTTACGGCCATGTTTCTTGGTTACTCCTCTGTCCTCACCGCCCCCTCCAGAGGTCAGCTTGAGGGAGGATGCTTTGTCCGGTGGCAGAGGTGAGGATGCCAGGACAAGAGCCTGGGGCACACTCGAGGTTAGAGGCCTTTTAAGGTCCCTGCTGAGGCAGATCTGCAGAGCCACCATTTTTGTGACTGTTTCCTATTTGTGGTGAGACACCCTCTCTGTGGCCCAGAAGCATGACCCTGTCTGTTCACCAATCTCAGAGAGGCACAGAAGGAAACAAGCGAGCATGGATACCTGCTTGCCTGCGTGCTCTGAGCCTTGCAGTTCTGAGCTTTTTGTTCTTAGCATTGCAGCTGGGACCCTCCTCCACCTGGAGGGGCGGGCCGTCCACCTGGCAGTTCAGGGGGCACCAGCGGCCCGTAGATCCCCCCTCTCACCCACCCCCCAGGCCACCACGGCACTGGGCTCCCCTTGCCTGGCTCGCTTGGCCTGTCGGGGCCACAGCAGTGTTCAGTGGTCACCCTTGACTCCTGCCAGGCATGCACCTGCTGGGCAGAGAAGCCCTCTCCAGATAACAATTTTTCTAACAATATTACTTCCCCCTTGTAGGATGTTTCCCATGAAGCGCTTTCTCCCCATTACCTCATTTCATCCTTGCCATGTTCTATGAGGTAATGTCAAGCGTTATTGTTTACAGATGAAAAGGAACCAGGACACAGAGAGGTTCGGTAACTTAGGGAAAGGGGCAGATCGACGAAGCAGAGCCGGGCCTTGGATCCGAGTCTCCTGGATCTCCTCCCGTCCAGGGCTCTGTGTGCTGCTTCCCATGTCTCACTCCTGCACAGACTGGTTCCCACCCACCCAACATTAGTAGACCCGACCCTCCCCGGGCTTCCAGATACTGTAAAGAGAGAAGCAGAACCTTAGGAAACTTTCTTGATGAGGTGAGACCTGCTGACAAAGGAAGGAGTGGTGTAATATATCAAACTCAGCCTAGAAAATGAAATTCCTAAAGCTTACGTAGTTTAACTTTTATTACACATTGCAGTTACCCACTCCAATTCAGCCCTTGCCCATCACCATAACAATCTGCATCCCCTAGCAAACAACTGAGAGAGAGACAGAAGGGGCATGGCACTGGATGTTTTCCTCTGCGGAGGAGAAACATAAGGTGCTGTGGGTTCCTGGCTTCTTAGCACCTGTCAATGAGTCTTGTTACCAGCCCCATGAGCCCAGATGGATCACAGCAATCCTCCAGCTTAGTGCCAAGTCTCCCTAAATCCACTTGATGTCCCTCCAATAACTGCCTGTTAAACATGACAAATGAAAAAGTACAAGTAGAGCAGAGCTGAGGGATTGCCTCTCCTGCTATGTCCAGAGCACCAGAGAGGTCTGTGAAAATGCCCCAAGACCGAAGATACTGCAAAATGCAGCCAGCTGGCCCTCCCCCTTAATAAGGAAAGGACAGGATGTTAGAGAAGCTGTAATTCTTCTTAACTTCTCTTGCCAGAGAGATAGCAGGTCCCGGGGGTATCACCATGAGCTGGGCTCCTCATACAGTCTGTGTCAATGACACCAGCTTTGAAAGCCTCAGGATCCATGCTGCCTGGGAGGGTGGAGACGTTCTAGAGGCACCCAGGCTGCCAGAGTGGGAAAACGGTCATCTCCTACACACAAGTGGGCTTCCTGAAACTGTGTGTATGGGGAGGAGCAGAGGGGGATTGCTACATTTTATGAGTTACTTATTTAGTATATGAGACATCCTTTTCAGTTCTTTAAAAATCACACCACCAAGATAATGTCAGAAAGCAGGGGGGAGTGGGACATTCTAGCATTACAAGTAATAACAAAAACTAACAGGTATTGAATGCTTCCTAGCCACAGGCACTAAGGACTTTGTAGGTATTAACTCATTTAACTCTCATTCAGACCTATTTTTATTTCCCCCAATTTACAATGAGGAAGCTAAGGATCTGGGATGGCAGGTAATCTGTTGCTAAGAGGCAGGGCTCACATTCCTGCCTTGCGGCTCTCTGGGGCTTTGGGTGCGTTTTGCACCACTGACCTCTGGCCCAGGTGTCTGCTCTGCTTTGGTTTCCCAGTGCATCACAGCCTCGTGGAGTTTTACTTGCAGGAGCCAAGAAACAAGGACACCCTCATCTCCGTCACCTTCCTTAGCAGCAATGTTACTTCTTTGGTCAAGATCACCATGTACGTAAGTGTCCCGCATCACACGCACACACATCTCCCACGACAGGCAGTGTGTGCTCACTGAGAGGTGGCCCGAGCCCACTAGGCTGGAGGTGGGGGTGAGGGCAGTACCTCCGACGGATGCACCCACAGACACATGCTGGGCAACTGTCCCAGGTTCATGATCAGTAGTGGATCCAAGGATAGTGTATTTAGGCAATAGCAGAGGAGGCGGGCGAGCAGAAGTAATGGGATGTCTCAACGGGTGGTGAGAACATGAGAATTGGGTCCCTGATAGGAAACATTAGTCAGGAATCCAGGAAGGGGGCATCAGGGAAGGAGGACCTCAGCCACTAGCCCAGGGAGTGCTGACCAGAGCCTGGGGAGCACCCACTCCTGGAAAGTGGGGGTGGTACTGGGTGAGTGACTAGAACTGAATCACAGACAGAGGATCAGTTAGCAAATGAGTACAAGGGGAGGCCAGCACGGCTTGAGGCCATCTGGTGCTAATCCCTAGAACCAGGCTGAGCATTTCCTTCCCTTGTGGAGTCACATTTGGGCCTAGCAGCTGGCAGGACCAGGCTTGAGGTGGGAAGACAGAGAACAACTATAGGGAGGCTCAAGCCTGGCAAGGGAGAGGAACTCAGCAGCAGGGGTGCTTGTCTCTTTAAAAAACAACTGGTAATGGGGCACCACCCTGCCCTAGGCTTGTGGGGGGTGGAGTGGGGGGTGTCTTTATGATAATCATCTGTGACCAACAAAGAATAACCAGCCCCTAAAAAGGAAGTAAGCCATTGAAGGTGTTATCAATAGAGATGTTAAAAGGATTTAAGTTCCCTGGTTAGCTTTCTATAAAAGACCAAACCTAAAGGCCCTCTGGAGGCTGCAGCATTAGACATTAATTATACTATCAGGGAAGACAAATTTCTGCTGAGAGAAGCACACTTCTGGACTCCCAAACACCCTGCCACCAACCAGGGCTCCAGCTGACACAGGCCACAGAGAGAGAGGGACAGCAGGCAGTCAGGATCCCAACACAGATCTTCAGGGGCCCATGTGAGTCTTGCAGATTATAGCTGAATAATTTTCATTAGATCAGTTCGAGGTCATGTTATTTCCATCAGGTGTCTTCATCACCTCTCTGTGTTTTGGTAGATGAGCTAACACTGTCTGGAGTCAAGATAATGACACGCAACTAGCTGCTGATTAAAATCACCTGGAGAGTGTTCACCACCACTGACCGCCCCCCCAAACCCCACCCCAGGCCAATTACAGCAGAGTCTCTGGGCATAGCCTCAACCACTACACCTTTCAAAGCTCCCTGAGTGATTGGAATGGACATCCACAGATTCTTCCTTCTCCCAAAAGCTGTTTGCGTTTTAATCTTTTGTGGAAGATTCAGAACGTGGTTATCTTCAATTCCTTGGTTGTTGTTGTTTTTTTTCCTTTTTGCAGAATAGAAATTGAAAAAAAGGAGGGGGGTTTATGTGTGGTCTTTCCTTACATTCTATAGCTTTGCGAAACCCCAAGATTTCCTTCTAATTAGAAAATTTACCCAAACCAAGTCCTTAGGTTGTTGCAGAAAAATAAAAATCAGACAGGTGAGAAACCAAGTGGCGCTCAGAGAAGTAGGAGAACTCAGGTTTATTTTATGCGTACGGACCCAGACGAGCTTGCACTCGAAATTTGGAGCCTGGGGCAGCGGAGTTATAGAGTGTTTTATAGGGGGAGTGCAAGGGGTCAGGTTCCAAGGGCTGTGCTGGCTGCTGGTAGGTGGGTTTAAGGTGGGGGAGTGGGGGCTGCTTTAGGCGGGAACAGCAGTGCAGGAAGGCTGTGGCGGGAAGCCTGTTGACAGAAGCAGAAATGGCTGGTTATCTCTTGCTCTACCAACAGAGCTAGTAACTTTCTATCTACTGGGGCCTGTGGGCCCGGGCCTGCTCTAGGTAATTTTCCTCTTCAAGGTCACTCACAGCATCCTTCATACCCTGCTAGTTTGCAAGCTCTTCTATCCATTCAGCTTCTTAAGAGGAAAAATCTTTTTTTCCCCCTCTGATATATTTCAAAACACTTCTAAAATTAAAAAACAAAAACAAATGAAGAACAGCTTTTAAAGTCATATAGAATCTTCCGCAAAAGAAAAAAACAAACTATATGACTAACCTTGGGTTAAAAAGTACACAAAGAAGACATTTTTATCACTCCACAGAGGCCAGAAAGGAAAGGAAAACCATGTGGTTGAGCCATGCGCCCCCTCTTTGATGATAACCCACGTCCATGCACAAAGGCGAAAGCCCCGTCCCCCTGCTCGCCTCCTTTTTCTCCAGGCCCCACTGCTTCTGAGCCTGGAGAGGCCCCGGGCAGGGCACAGGGGGCAAGTGCCTTCCCTGCTCCCCAGGGCTTTGCCCAGCTTGGCGAAATCCCAGCAGGCCTCCTTGCTCCACACCTGAATCTTGCTTTTGTCAACTAGATTGGTCATTTCATACTCCTCCTTCCATCTTGGGCCAAGAGAGACCTGGACTCTGCTTTCACTCTGGGTCACTTAGGGTGCAGTCAAGACGTACCAAGCCCTGTGGGTCAGGCTCATGGCTAGCACGTGGGAGAGCTGGAGATTAGACCTAGGGCATGTGACTCCAAAGCCACACAGTTGGGAAGAGACGAAACCTGGGTACCACACCAGCTCCGTCTGGTTTCAAGATCCCTTTTTCGTTTGTTTGTTTTTTCCCCATCCACACATTCATACTCAGTCTAAAATACAGTAGTCTACACAAAATTTATGGAACTGAATGCCCTAAAAGAGGGCTGTACTTCCAGTAGGTAGACCTGAAAGTGAAGATCTTCTCCAGTTAGGAATCTAAGAAACACAGACATTTTTCCCAGATATGAAAATCCAAGAGCTACTATTTTGCTGCCATGTCCACTTGTTTGCTTTCAAAAATCAACAATTATCTTCTGAACCATGTTTAAAGCTGTGAGTATGTGCACAGAGGGGCTGATGAGTGTGATACAAAGGATCGTGGTCCCCACCTTCAAGGAGTTCTTTTGTGCATGACAGCTAACCAACACTACCAGCAGAGCCCTGTAGGAGCCAAGGGGGAAGCAAAGGCCAAATGTGCTTGGGTAAATTAATTTCTCTTTCCCTTGCAGACCTAGACAGGAACTCCAGGGGAAAGGCGTCATAGCTCACACCAACCCTCAGTGCCAGATAAACCAAGTGAAAATCAAGTTTCACTCTTCCCACCGAGTTTGGAGAAAAGACCGGACCACCATTGTTGGGAAGTTCTGCACTGCTCCTTTGCCGGTCAATGACAAGTAAGCCCAAAATCCACCCTACTCCACCCCACTCCACCCAACCCTGATACACCCACAAGGACCAATCCTGACCTTAGACGGGACATTTGCTGAGGTGCACTCTCATCACAGTGGTGAGCTTCCTCAATGAAGAGATGACAAAGACCCAGGGTTTTCTTGAATTTTCTGTGGTGCCGTCTTGGGTTGGAGGTATTAGAAAGCCAAAGAGGGTGGAAAATAGCTGGGGTGTGGGTGAGGAACAGAGAGATCTGGCACACACCTCCACCACTTTCTCCACAGCCAGGTACTCCCTGGATTCTTCCAGACTTAATTGTTTTCTTTAACTCTTTAAAAAAATCATTTAAATTATTTTCAAGTGTATAATTCAGTAGTCTTAAGTACATCCATCCTGTTGTACAACAATTACCACTTTCAATTTCCCATTCCCACTTCAATATAAGAAACTTCATTTTATCTGTTATATAGCTGGATAATTTTATATATAAATATAGAAGCTGTTTTATATATGTCTTATTTAGCTTCTACATATGATTTTATTGGAATAAAGATTTCTAGTTGCACAGCCTGGTCACATTCACAGGTGAGGATCCACCTGTACCTCTAGCAGGGATTTATACTAGTCTTACCCCTCTGGGCACATGGAGGGCAGGAGTAGTAGACTCCTATGATGGACGATTGTAGACTTCTTCCACCTGACACCATGGAAACACAAGAGCACACAACTCCTAGTTCTCTCTCCTGACCAATCAGGAACCTGTCCTGAGCGTATACCTTCTTGTTGCTCTTCTTTTGCAGCAAAGAGATGGTCTGCTTACCTGAGCCATTGACCTTACAAGCAAGTGTGACTGTTTCTTTTGACCTGAAAATAACGTGTGTAATAGTATGAGCCTGGACAGGATACATCTCCCTGGATTTCAGAGGAGGTTGGGCAGCTATGTTCAACTTATTCTAGGCCATTACTACTAGAAGGAAGGCAAAACTCTTGATTATTTCCCTCATAGTTAGCCACTTTAGAGGGGAGAGATAGCTCATCTAATGGAGCTTTGTCTCTATTACCAGTTTGAACCGCCTTACAAAAATACCATTTCAGCTTTTCTATTCATATTTAACTGCAGTTGCCCCATATCCTTGAACATCTGTATCTAGGATTCAATAGAAACATTCACAGGAAAAATGCTTTAAAAAAAAATAATAAAACACCATGGAATATCTGAATGATTTGTTTTATTGGAATGGAATTCTGTTATGTACAAAAATGTGATTGTCTATAGGATTGGAGAAAACAGTGGATGCTGAATTCTCTGTACTAAAATAGCAATTGAAAAGAAGTTCTTGGAACAAGTGAGGGGATGGAGAGCAGGGAGGAAGATGGAAGACCCCTTACCATTGCCTCCTCTGGATATCTGGAAGGTTTTGAGGATCAGAGAGATCTTTTGGGGATAGAAGTGGATCTTCTTTGCATCAGTGTTTCCCCAACTTTGTTGTAAGTTACCTCACATCAGCCATAGTCCAGCAAGAAACAGATGATGTGCTCAAAATGGGTAATTTGTGGAGAATTTAATAAAAAGACTATTGACAGAGGTGTTAGTAGGAAGTGGGAAGACCAGAAGGGATAGTGCGGTTCCCTGGGGCCAGGGGCTGTGGCAACTGCTACTGCGTTCGGTCTGAAGAGGCAAGGGCACCAGATCCCGAGACTGCGAGGGGCTGCCAGACCTTCAGACAAAGGACACGGTCGCCGGGCAGCAATCCTGCAGGGAGGAGACCAGGGAAATAGATTCTGTGACCTCACTCTTCTCTCTGCCCTCATCTCCTGCTCGTGCTCCCCATTGAATGACTCCAACCAGAAACCAGAAGGCGAGAGGCATGCTGATGTGAGCCAGGGCGTAGAGCAGGACAGGGAAGGGTGGAGAGTGGCTGGGGTGGGGGTGAGGAACAGAGATCTGGCACACCCCTTCCCTACTCTCTGCACAGCCAGGTACTCCCTGGATTCTTCCAGACTTAATCGTTTTCTTTAACCCTTTAAAGCATCATTTTAATCATTGTTAAGTGTACAATTCAGTAGTCTTAAGTACATCCATCCTGTTGTGCAACCATTAACCACTTTGCATCTCCAGACCTTTTTCATCTTCCCTAACTGAAACTCTATCCCCATTGAACAGTTGCTCATTGCCTCTCCCCCCTGCCCCAGGTAATCACTATTCTGCTTTCCGTCTCTATGATTTCTACCCTTCTAGAATACCTCATACAATCATACGGTATTTGCCCTTTTGTATCTGGCTTATTTCACTTCGCATAATGTTTTCAAGGTTCGCCCGTGTTATAGCATGTGTCAGAATTTCCTTCCCTTTTCAAGGGTGAATAATATTCCATTGCATGTATATTCCACATTTTGGTTATTGATTCATCCATCCGTGGACAGTTGGATTACTCCAGCTTTTGGCCATTGTTAATAATGCTGCTGTGAACATAGGCGTGCAAATATCTGTTCAAGACTTTTTTTTTTTTTTTTAAGATTTTATTTATTTGACAGAGAGAGAGAGACAGCTTCCTACTGAGCAGGGAGCCCGATGTGGGGCTCGATCCCAGGACTCAGAGTTCATGACCTGAGCTGAAGGCAGATGCTTAACGACTGAGCCACCCAGGCATCCCTGTTCAAGACTTTTTAAAATGTGCTTTGAAAGAAACTGCTGATTTGCTGACTCCTGCTTGCCAGTAAAGGCAGGAAAATGATGTAAGCCACAGGCTGCAACTGTGTCACTTGAGCCGTCACCCAGCTCACCAGACCAGAGAGCTTGGGCCTTTGGGCTGCAGAAATGCAGCAAGAGGACAGGGGACACGCTGTGAATAGGGACATACCTGCTTTATTTTCTGCACCACAGTCAGGCGGACCAATAACATGTCTGAAGAAACTTACCCCAATATGCAGGTTTGGAGTTCATTTTTATTTTTCAAAATCCAAAGCCCCTCTTTCCTTTCTTTACTCCCTCCCTTCCTCCACCCAGGACCCGGGCAAGAACCTGCCTGGACACGGGCTTACCCAGAGCTGGGCTCAGGCTGCGCTTCCTGTAGCTCATCTGCCATCCTGGGAGACACTGCTTAGCACATAGTGCTTCCTTGGCTTTTCCTACTGCTTACCGCTTCGCGGTGTGTGCCAATTATGCTTCTGTGATCAAAATTACGTTACGGGATCCTGACTGGCGGTACACTGACCTGACCTGTTTTACCCTGTCCTCCTACTTTCAGTTTTGCTTTTGGACACACCCCTGTGTTGCTTTGCTAATAGCTTCTTACTTTCAAGTGCCGTTAGACTCTCCCACATTTGATTTTCCTCCCCGTGGGAAACTTTAGATCATCACCTTAAAAAACCAGTTTCCCTTATCACAACTTAGTACAATGAGAACACAATGTTTAAAATTCCAACAAGATACTGTGGCTTGCTGAGGGCTCTACGCTCCGGGCCTGTCTTTTCCTTATTAAAAAGGGAAGATCAGCAAATACGAGAGAGATGTCAAAACCATATTAACAGTCAGAGACTTTCTTCTGTATGTAATCAGTGAATTGAAAGAAAATGAAAACAGAAATAGCAATCTCACCATGAGATTTAATGTTATTTAAAGCTGGGTCTATGTGCTACCTTAAACCATCTTGCCCAGCAGCCCACACTTTGGGAAATCCGGCTTTACGTAGGTGGGGCATGTGTGGAGTTCAAGAAAAGGGAACGGTAACATGGAATTCTGCTTGATGCCAAGGCAAGAGCGTGGGTCTCCCTTCCACACCCACGTTGCTCACAACCTCTTTGAAGATCTTCTCGTGAACAGAGACTATTACAGAAGTAATTCACTTCAGTAGTCAGCCTGTGCCCTTATGCGGCACTACAAACGTGGTTTCCAGACCCTTCTCTTCTCTGGTCACTCTACCCTAAGTATGCTCAGTTTGTGCCAGGATCCCAGAACTGGGCTCGATATTGGAGGCCTTCCTCCCACAGAATATATACCAGGAGTATATTTTCACATGTTCCTCATAGTAGTCCTCCAGTAATTCAGCCCAAGAGTCACTTCAGGGAAACTGTAGAGTCTATATTTTTATAGTCTATATTCTTATTTTATATTTTTATTTTTATTTTTTTTTAAAGATTTTATTTATTTATTTGAGAGAGAGAGAATGAGAGATAGAGAGCACGAGAGGGAAGAGGGTCAGAGGGAGAAGCAGACTCCCTGCCGAGCAGGGAGCCTGATGTGGGACTCGATCCCGGGACTCCAGGATCATGACCCGAGCCGAAGGCAGTTGCTTAACCAACTGAGCCACCCAGGTGCCCTATTTTATATTTTTAAAGAGTCTATATTCTTACTGTATCCAGCTTGCTTTCTTGTGGAGTTGATTTTTTGAACCTGAATGAACTTTTCATACAACCCAATTCCATTCCATATTATTGTTGTAGTATCTCCAACCTGTCAGGAATTTCTTTTTTTTTTTTTTTTTCTTCCAGATTCTTAACTACAGAGAACACACAGGGGGTTACCAGAGGGAAGGCGGGCAGGGGGGATGGGTGAAACAGGTGAAGGGGATTAAGAGTACACTTATCCTGATGAGCACTGAGTAATATACAGAATTGCTGAATCACTATATTGTACACTGAAACCAATATAACACTGTATGTTAACTATACTGGAATTAAAATGAAAAAAAATTTATGGTCCCGTGGTCAGAGGCATGCTGGACATCCCCTCCAAAGAGAAAGACGAACTATTACATCTTTCACCAACTACAATGAAAATGGATGCCCAGTGCCAGGTAGGTGTCTCTGGGTTCTGGAGGCATCATGTTCTACAGCTAGCAATACGCTGATGGCCCATTTCCGGAGGGAGAACAGTGGCTGGATCTGAGAGCTGTAAAACAGGAAAGGACTCTGCAGCCAGTCCAGACTGCAATGCAAGCAGCACTCCTGTTTGAGTCACATGACTCAGTGGATCCCCTGGTGTTATCAGTGGTAGGAAAATATGCTGTGTGAAGTTTGTGGCAAGCCCCATTGAAAAAATCACAACATAAGTCCCTGAGGTTTGGGAACAAGTCCATGCCTTCTGGAAAAAAAAAAAAAAATTCCATCAGGAATTTCTTATATACTGATTTTATCCTTTTTTTTTAAGAGATTTTATTTATGTATTTGACAGAGAGAGACACAGCAAGAGAGGCAGGGGGAGTGGGAGAGGGAGAAGCAGGCTTCCTGCCAAGCAGGGAGCCCGATGCGGGGCTCGATCCCAGGACCCTGGGATCATGACCTGAGCTGAAGGCAGATGCTTAACAACTGAGCCACCCAGGCACCCCGTCCTGATTTTATCCTTAAGAACGTTTAGTTCTCCCTCCAAGCTTCATGTAATTTTTATATATTTATCATAGGGATAAATATATATATATAATATATATATATTTATATATATATATGCACATTTATATATGACATTTTTATAGACTGCAGTTTTTATATCTATAGCCGAGAATTTGAAAGGAGAAGGTAAAGGGTAAAGCCCTACCTCTGACCTACCTCTAGAAGCTTCCTTAAGATTAATCAATACCCTGGGGCTCGCCCTTCACATATTATTTCTCAACTCATGTTTATCTTGACTACTTACATATTATGAGAAAAGTTTCAGTACTTTATATCTACAATGATCCCCTGATTTGAGGGAGAGAGAGAGAAAAGAGAAATAATATGATTAATTGGGTTTTAGCATGACTTAATTCCCAGGAGCCCATGTATGCTCTCCTACTAATTGCTACTTCATTTCCTAAATATATACAAGTGATATTGTTAGTGATTTGTTCCTGGACTTTGCTGATAACATACCAAGCTTCCTAGGAATCTCTGCTTTCCCTCTTTTTGGTCACTGGAGCAAATGTATCTACCTACCATCTTCTAACTTCTTTTCTTTGGGATTATTCAGTGATCCCCGAACAAAGAGCTCAGTTACCCTACACAGTCTTTCTAAAGCAAGACTGTGATTCAGGATCTGGGTACCAGGATTCATTTAAAGCAGCTGGGTGATCTCTTTCCAATCTTGACCCTCAGATTAATTTCCAAACAAAACACCTCCTCTACATTATTATATATATATTTGAAACTACAAAATCAATAGATGCTCATTTTAACAAGTCAAACTGTATAGACATATGGCTGCCATGGCCCTGAGGTAATCT